TTCAGCCGAGGTTTCAGTCGGTGGTCGACCGTCGTCGTGGTACGATCGCTTATTATTTTTGTTGCGATTCTCGTAGCTTCGTCTTCGCGCACGGGCATCCGTAGACCGGCACTTTTGCCCGTGCCATTCGTCGAGGAGCTCGAGTGTTCGGTCGAATTCTCGAATTGTCAGAGTTTTTATGAGCGGTCACTCGTCGGTAAACGTATAAAGAGAGCGAGAGAGCGAGAGAGCGAGAGAGCGAGAGAGAGAGAGAGAGAGAGAGCTTATAATCCGTGCAGCGCGATGCGAGCTTGCGAGTCCAATGTCCGCTCCTATCGGCAGGATCGCAGCCGGACGTGCGCATCTCGGCCTTGCAATGTCTGAGTCCAAGAGTCCACGATGTGAGGGCGTATAGGACCGTTCGAAGGCCAGGCGTAAGCTCATCGAGAGACGTCGAACGCAGCCGGTGGCAAATTGAAGCGTTCGGGGTTGTGAGTTGGCATTGTCCGCCGCCTTGACTGCAGGGCAGAGAGGCGCACCCGGAGCCGGAGTAGGCGCATGCCTGCGTCGCGACAGCGCCCTCGTCCCCATGAGCGTCCTCCTCGCGGGCTCGGCGCGCTCGGGCCTGGTGGACTGGGGGCGCGTGCTCTGCCCAGCGGCTAACTGTCTGCTTGAGGTGGCCGAGGAGGAGGATCAGCAGGCCGTCGTCGAGCTCGCCCTCGAGGAGCCGGGGCCCGGGGGCGGGGGCGCCATGTCGCGAGGCCTGCCCGGTCGACGGGTACTACAGGCCCTGGTGCTCGTCCTCGCCACCGCCTACGCGACTGTTCTACTCTACCAAGCCGTCGCTCCCAGACAGGTGATCACCATAATTTTTGCTCATAATTCGAATATAGGCTAGCTTCTAGGGAATGTCAACTCTTCGCACCTACATTATTTGCGCGCTATCAAAGTCGAGGGTGACTTTGCAGTTATCGTGATAAAATATTTTGTTACCATTTAAGCCATAGTGGCCACTTTTGCCATTTCTTTCCGTCTGATTCGTAAAAATTTTATAACCTTTGAAAGTTTTATCCTCCTTTTTACGTCTCTCTCTCTCTCTCTCTCTCTCTCTCTCTTTCTTCCTCTCCCTCTCTCCATCTCCCCCTTCTGTTTCTTTCTATTTACTTTCATTATTTGATAATTATATCCATTCACGTAATGTTTTGTTTATCAAAAGTAGGGAAGAAAGGTATATTTCGATAAATGCATTTTTCTTAATTCTATTGAATCTAACGCATAATTCCAGTATCGCGTGTATTGTAAAGTCTAACGAAAATAATTTTACAATCTTTGTAATATCTGATTGGTTATTATTAGTTTCAATGTAATTCCATGTTTCTATTTACTTTTCAAAGCTTTACAATTACACATATAAACACACACGCCTTATTATTTGATTTTTATTTGATTAAATAATTTTAACATTAAACATAAAAATACTTTAATATTAGTTTGAAAGCAATTCGTGTGGACGGCTTTAAGTAAAATCATAACAAAAATCTCGTGTAATTAATATTTTTTTTATCACATAACATGAAATGTAATTTTGCTATTATTTAAAAGATTTAAAAATTTAAAATCAATTTAAAACTTTTCTATAAAAATTAAGGTTTATTAATATAATCAATTGAAATACTAATTAATTGAATTTACATCTCAGTAGGAATAAAAAATATTTTTATCGATCCTTATTTGTTATCATTTGTAGTTCGTATAAATTCGTGTATGATAGTAAAAAAAATTAATATATTGTTGATAAAGACAAAATTTTAGTTTACGATTTTATCATTCGAACACATTTTTATTATTTTTAATGATTGTTTATAATTCAAATTTAATTAAGATTCAAATTCAAGATAAATAATATTTATTACTAATTTGAATATCGTTCAATATTTGCCTTATATATTTGTGATTTATTTCAACAATATATATGCAATAATAATTTCTAAAGAAGCATTTATTTTAAGCATAATAAATGAATTTCATTAAAAATTCTTCCGGCAATGTTATTATTTTAAAGCCATGTAACATTTTCATAGTTAAGATTGTAAACAAAATAAAAGTATTTAAAACCATAATTAAAATTTGTGCAAAATAGTATTTTCATTAAACATTAGTATCACTTTTATTTTTCCGAAAAATCGTAGTGGATCGATGATCAAAGTGTTGATGAAATAAGCGGCGATGTGTCACTGGAGATGCCTCTGCCACGGCTCGTTAGATTTGGTGTCGCAGGCGTCGTCGCCGAAGACACAGTTGCGGTCACTCCGTCGGTGGCCACTGCGACAATAGCGCCATTCTCCACAGATCTTGACGACGTCTTTATCAGTGTTAAAACGACCAGGCATTATCATCATTCTCGACTACCTGCAATTATCAACACATGGTTTCAATTCGCTAAGGATCAGGTCAGTTAAGCATAATATACACCCTATTTAATTTTTGATAGATTTTTCTCCAGTCCTTCTGTTCGTAAAAATCGACTGTACTGTTAAATTATTGGACAAATTGATAAAACTACAAATTCGGTATCTTTATTATGGCGCTCTTGATAAAACATTAAGTCTTGATTTAATTATATATACAAGTTTCGATTTTATTCTAGCGATGTCAGTTATAATTTAAGTATATTTTTACTTATATAGCAAATAGTTACTTTTTTTTGTATTTTGATGTTGAAAATTTATAGAGAAAAATTTAATCATGAATGAATGAATCACACATTAATAAATCTTTTTGTTGGGATGCTAAATATTTAGTTTAATTTTTACTGAACTACTGAATTTAAAAGTCTATCGTACAAGCATCTTACGAACGACAACAAAAAATTAATTATGAATTTATAGAGGTGTGTTTCACTTGAAATTAAAACATTTATTTCTCATAGTAATCATATATAGAGTGATTATTTAAATAAAAATATTAGATATTTCATTAGATAAAACATTTATTTATTGAAACAAAACATAATTAGTATTCAGATATAACTGTTTGTAATAAAAGAAAATAAGAATAGATATAGAAAATTTTTTACCAATTATTTTTGTTATAATATAGTTTATTACGTACACAAAGTAAAAATTTCTATAATATTTAAGAGAATAGTACATGTTTGTTATTTTGAAATCTATAATATACATTTGTTACTAAAAATATAAAATTAATTCTTTAGGAAAGTAACTAATCTCAACTTATATTGATGCTCATTTGTTTGAAAATATTCGTATTACATTAAAAACGTTCGCTTATATTCCTTCTTAAATTAGTTTTACTGAAAACACATGACATCTCAATAGAAATTCCATTTACTCGCTAATACAAGAAAACCAGGAGTTAAGATATATATATATATATATATATATATATCTTAACTCTTGGTTTTCTTAATATGCATGTATTATATGTATTATGTAATACGCATGGTTTGAATTTATCTATCGTTAGTTCTCTAAGTTTTATTCGAATCAAGTAATAATATCTACACGCAATTTTAAATCACGTATAATCTTACCAAAACCAGTATTACATTAAAATTTTCTAATTTTTAGATAAATGAAAGTTTACACAATTTTTTGTTTTATGATTTGCGAGTTAAATAAAAAATTTCGAGAAATTTAAGTTGTTAGCTGAAATTTAAGTATATTTAAGTTGTTATTAAATTAGAGTAGTATAAAATAATTTTAGAGTACTCTATTAATGGTTAATTTGTTAACAACTTAAAATTTTGCCCATTTTTATCATTAGATAGTCTTGTATAATTCAAACAAATATATCTAGACGACAATTAATGCATAATACCACAATAGTTGCATGCCTTGAAAATTAATTTTCTTTATTGCATTATATAATTGTCAATACAAATGTAAAATATAAGAATTAATTAGAGAAATATCCTGTTGTTCCATTTACTTCCTTTAAAAGCGCAATCCATTTTACGTCCTAGTGTAAGTCTGCGAAAATGAAGCACTTTAATGAAGGCCCAAGAGTGCGCAAAAATAGGGGAAGGCGAACACATAAATCCCGTGTTCTCACGAAATGCATCGCGGCACGCTCATCATGCCGACAATTTCAACTCCTAGTGGATCGTTACGATACGTCGCGCATATGAACACGTGAGAAGAGGTGCAAGCATGCGTGTAGACAATGAATGTGTTCGTCTTAACCCCTCCACTTCCTTTTCCTTCGCGGAGTGTGAGGACCGGTGCTGATAGCGGGAGGCGCCGCCGCCTTTCCAGTTCCCCGTTCGATCGTTTCATTGATAGGTCAATAAAGCCAGTTGCCTGTTATTATTTTTGCCTCTTTTTTCGGAGCTATTTCCATATTGAATTCAAACAAGTGCAAAAAATTTGAGTAAACTAACAATTCAATCCAAATCGGTCGTTCAACATATGTCAATTTAAGAAAGAAAGTGTAAGCGGCGTAAGAGAATCATTTTTATTTGTAATTTATATACACAGCGATTATAGTATTAAGAATAATAATATTTTTTATCGCATGTTTACGGAAAAACTTAATATCATTATGTTACGTGTCTATAATACGTGACTATAAGCAGATGTTTATTTATCGCACAGCAACTCAATATAATTGTAATTATTCATAATTTAATTTTATTATATTTTTTAATGAATTGAAATTTTAATTCTATAGTAACGCGTTTAACTGCCATTAGACAATTTTTTTTTTTTTTTTTTTTATAAATAAAATGAATAAATGAGAATGTATTTAATATAATACTGATTTAATATAAAGCAATAATAATAAAAACAAAGTTTTATGAATTTATCTTGAATACTTATCTCTAGGTAATGTATACTGTCTACATTAAATAAATAATTTTTACATTTAGTACATGGTTTTAATGCGAGATTTGTCCAAACTTTCTAAAAGAAAAGAAAAGAAAATTTTGCTTAACTTCTTTTCTCACACATAAGTTTGTAACACTCATAGAAATTCAAATAACTTTTCATTGTATGGTCGTATGTAAGAAAAGATTCGAAGAGACTGTCGGTAAATCGTGTACTTCGTAAGCATGTATACGAGTCTGAGTTTCATGATGTACGTGCGTGCAATCAAGAAAGTCTTGTTTTAATGCTTTCGCTTCCTTTTCTTCAATTTATATAGATTTTTTAGTTTGAACGATAACTATCAGCACCAATAGTGTGCGCGACCTGCTAATTGCAAATGTAGTGAGTTGATCATTTTGATAAATAATAGTGATAAGCAAGTTATTACAATAAGATGATAAGGAAACTATGAATGAAAGATTGCACAGTCTTACCATTGTTATTATCATCTGTTGTTGGCGATTAGAAATAAATCTTTTTGTTTTTTATTTGCAATATTAAATAATATGATTATACCAAATTAGATTTTGTTTTTATAAAAGTTATTACTCTATATTTAAAATATTTTGAGAATCTTTAGTTAACGTTCACTAGTGTTTAAATGATTGCTTCATAGAAGATTTGACAATAATGTTTTATAAAGTATATATTTATTTTTGTAATAGAAATTAAGATTTAAATTATTGATCAAATATTTGTAAATTTTCTATAAAGTGTTAGAAAAAGTTAGATTTTAAACAAATAACAACTAAATTAATGTTATTATGAATTAACTATTTGAGTTGTCTGCATAATAATTTGATTTATTATTATCTTATTTTTTAATAAACACGAGAGTTATATTGATATTAGTGTTATTTAATAATAATTCAAATTGCTTTTATAAGACATATATATTCATATTAATTTAGCGTTTTCTGTTAACAAGGTGAGTAAGATTGTCTTTATTTTTTTTTTAATAAATATAAATAAGAAAAATAATATATTTCGTTAAAATTCTTAACTAATATTAGTCTTCTAAGAAAATTCATTACCTCTAAATTACATTTAGCTTAGTTAGATTTAGCTATTTTAAATTTTCTAATTTATATTTTATTAAAAAAAACAGATACAATAATTACTTGGCTGTGAGATTATTTAAAAGAGTGTAAGCGATCACTTATAAATATGTAATATGATACACATATCGGACTATTTGAAATTTTTAACGAATCAAACTGACTTCTCTTTTTATATCAACTATTCTCTACCTTATAATATATGTAGGAAAAGTATTGTATCATAAAATAATCTTATTCAAATCGATCGATTGAAATTAATCAATAATTGTATGGCTGGCCAATTTAAGCGTTTGGATTTCGTGTATGTCGAGGCTTGAGTCACCGAGTAAGAGGAAAATCGCGCGTAACGTACGTATGATAGTTGCCGGAACGTCTGCAAACGCAGCGCGTATCGCTTATACCCAGAATAAGCGCATGGACGGTTTGGGCGATTCAACTCGTGGGAAGATCTCACGGATTTACCTTCGACCTCTCAAGTGTTCCCTCGACCTCGCGCTTCTCCTGCTCCATAGCCGGCAAAATGACGCACTAAAGGTCCATAGCCCGTGCCGCGGATTTAGTGGTCTCTCTCTCTCTCTCTCTCTCTCTCTCTCTCTCTCTCTTTTCTCTCTGCCGATAATTAAGCGATGCGCGCGCGAGAGAAAGAGCCGCCAACATCGAAATCCGCGGCCTCCTCCCGGTGCGCAGTGCATGCGCGAGAGAACGAAAATTGAATGCAGACATAGTGAGGGGAAGATCGAGACGTAATGAGGGGTTTGCACGAAGCGAAATTGAGGGGTGGCAAGAGCGTGGCTGCAATACCACAAGGATTGCTTATATCCATTCTCCCTCTCTTCATCATTCTTTTCCTTCCTTTTGCCTTCCTGCACTCGTGCTCAGCGAAACGATCCGAGGTGTCGGTCATTTATCTTTCGATGTGAGTCAAGATTCTATCTTGCATTCTTTTACTTTTTGCGTCTTCCTTAACTTTGGTAGCTGTTATTCGATATTATATATTTGCTGAGCCAACTGAAACTCCATTGCCACTATAATTATTCTAGAAAAGAGTGATATCTTTCTTTGCCTGAACAAAAATTTAATTGATTATTGCGTAATCTCGCATGTGACGATGTAATCACCGAATAAATTTAGCATATCTCAGTTAGTTTTTTTTTATTAATGTATTAGAGAACAATGTTCAGAAATAAGTGAAATGAATGTCAAATTCGAATGAAATTATAAAAAGTTATATATTGTAAAACATATTAGAGATATATATTACATTAACTTCAGTAAAATAAATAAAATTCATAATATTTTATTTTAGTAAAATTTAGTAAAATTCATAAAATTCACAATATTAATATAAAGTTCATTATATTGTTCTTAACATTCAAATTTTTTAAGTATTTTGCAATTTTTATTTAATATTTAAGATCAAGTTTAAATACTCGATAGAATTCAAATTAGTAACTATAAGCAAATGCTTATACACATTTCATAAGTTTAGAGATAAGATTT